GCACTCTCACATGCAAAGCAGACACTGCAGACGCAAGCACTGACTCATGACACTGCACATGCGACCACTGACAGCGCAGGCAAAAGCGCTGGCACCTGATGCAACTTGTCCACGTGACGCTGGCAAGCGAAGCTCCCATCCAATGCGACCTCAAGCAGGGCACTCGTGACACTGAATCCTACCACATCCAACCTCCGCCACCCAAACTATTCCTGGAAACACACCAGCACCCATTAACTTGAGTGATCGGTTCGGCGCAAACTAGAACGAATAGAATATGATTTACAAACGACATGTGAAATGACGCTGGTACCGCCTGAAGGATTGACACTACTATAATAATACTTACTGACTAAATTTAAATTACTATTATTACCCGTAAAAGGATTCTTCCTTATAATCATTTATTATTATTATTAAAATATTTACATCATTTAATAATAATATTTATCAAAGTGACCTAGGAGGAAGACCCGCAATGACAATGGCCCGCAATGACATTCACACTGCTCCACCAATTTAAAAACTTACATAATATTCATCAATAGACCTACAAGCCGAAAGCTCGGGCTGCGACATTGACCCCTGGCCTCAAGCAGGATAAAGCCTGGGAGGAAGTCACATGACTCTGACTGGGCTGTGGGAAGCAACGGGACTCGAGACACAAGGCCCAACCTATGTCGAAAGCCGGGCTCAAGGCACGATACCTGCTCAGACACTGGGTCGAACGACAAACTAAAAGATCTCCACAACGAACGACAAACTAAAAGATCTCCACAACCAGCCTCAATGTCAAAGAAGAACAAAGCCAGGCGTGGGCCTACCGGCGAAACAAGTGACTCAGTGATTAAGAGCACTCACAACTCGTGACAGGCCCAAGCCTGACTCTGGCGAACGCAGACCCGTGCCTTCACGACCATCGCGATTGCCACAATGTTGACACTGAACCTGCGACCAAGCATGCTGGGAAACTACCATCAAATGGCACCCTCAGCCTGCAGCAAAACCTCGTGACTCTGTCCACAGCTACCATCCTGACAATGTTGAAAATCACAAGACACTGACCGCTGCCAACGAGTTGAGCCTAAGATCTCCGCAGCGGCTTGCGCGCGCAGCGGCTGGGCAAGGCGCCTGTTCAGGAAGAGAAATAGACACAGAGGTATCGGGGTTATGTTTTTTTTGGGGCGAGGGTTGGGAAGTGTTCGCGAGGCGACTAAGGGCTTAAGGGCTCCATGCTATCACAGGCACGTGACACTGACTACCTAATGATCCTAATGTCTCTCTTTTTTCCTCATGGCACTGCTCATTGCTGGCCCTTCTTCGAAGAGCTTGCTTTGGCTTTGCCAGCACGTGACACTGGCGCTGCCGGGGCTGCCTGTGACCCTGAGGATGCGGCCATCCTACGATCTACTTCCGATTCGGCGGCCCGCAGCTCGTGACGCAGCTCACCGAAAATAGGCGAATCCAGCAGCCTCCGCCTCTCCTTCTCGTGACGCTGCCGGCGAGCCTCATCCTCAGCCTGGGCCTTCTGCTTCGCCTCGGCTTTGGCAGCCCTCTCCTGCGCCGCGGCCTTGCGAGCTGCCTTCTTGGCCTCTGCACGTGACTCTGCCTCGGTCTGTGGAAAACAATGATTTACACCAAGGAAGTCTTATACTATTCTCTTACATACTATTATTATTATTATTATTAATTAGTTAAATGATTACTAACTATTGAAAAATTAAGAATGTTATTATTCTGTAAATTAACATACTATTATTATTATTATTAAATTAGTTAAATGATTACTAACTATTGAAAAATTAAGAATGTTATTATTCTGTAAATTATTATTTTCAGTAATAAATTAAATTGATTGACTGATTGAACTTAAGCTGACAAATAATGGCCATGACACTTCCCTCTGCGCACGCTTCTGCTCCGCGACGATGACCCTGGTGGCCACACCCACAGCTTTTGGCAACGCCGTGTTGATGGCAGCGTTGATTGCCCTCGGCAGTGACACTGTGGATGCAGACGAGGACGACGAGTCCGAGGAGGATGACGCTGCCGCCTTTTTCGGTGCCACACCTTCGTTTTGGATGCAAACTAGTAATATAGAGCCCATCGTTCAGACTGTAATCTATAATATCTAAATTGACACAGGACTGGATATGGACAAGCTGCTAGACTTGGCAGCGGTCATTCGCGTGGCTGCTGAATCCTTTGCCTCGTGACTCTGCCTCCAAGCAGCCTCCGCCGTCGGAATTGGACCTGGCATCGGCTGCGGCCGCCCCACCCGTGACACTGGCACCGTCGAAGGAGGCGGCATTGCCGGCTGGGCCGGAGGTGCTTTTGCTTGCAACGGCATCAGCGCAACCTGAGCCCAGGCACCAAATGAGTCAAGCCAGCTTCCGATGGACACCCCTATAATAGCTTATCATCCACTGATAATTACAGTAATTGTTGAATATGAAATTGATGACACCAAGAATGAAACCAAAACCATGAAGCCAGGGTTCAGGTCCAGGTTCCTCGTGACACTGCTCCTCCTCCGGCTCCTCCGCCCACACCACACCCTGAGCATCAGCCGCTCGAACCAAGAAGAAACTCTGACACTGTAGCATACTAACCCATTTCCCAGCAGCAAAGCGGCCCCTCACGTGATTCCGGAGCCGCTTCTGGCGAGAGCCTTTTCCGCCCTTCTTCTTCCTCTTCTTCTTGGAGCCGGTGGCCCGTGACTCTGACGGGTCTGACGGGTCTGCTGGCAGATCATGTTCCATGGTTGACACAGGAGGCCGTGACGACTTGAAAAGGAATGTGAACCTCAGACTGTCTGAGTACCGCTATTATATCATCGAATCTGAATGAATAAGGGTTGTCGATTGACATCGAAGTTATGTGCAGAGCCGATAGTCAAGAGATGACCAATGACACCAGCTTATCTTAATTTAGAATGTTGTGGCTCAGGAATGCGTGACTGTTGCTTCCGAAGCTAAATTCCTAAGTCTTAAGTGATGTGGCTTACATGACTGAGCTGCTTGATCATCGTGCAGCTTCGGAAACGGAGGCTGCAACACCGAATTGAAGCCCCGAAGGAAAGGTCAAAGTGACTCTGGATGTTGTATCGTTCCAGTGGCAAGTCTGGGGGATGATCCCCGAAGGCAATCCGCTTAGGGGTTTATTCAGGCCTTGAGGTTTCAGGTTTGGCATGGGCAGTTTCGGATGATTAAGGGTTGGAGTGGCTCTTGACTGACTCTGGACTGGAATCATGCTGCAAGACTTGGATTTGGATTACACTTCCTCTGATTCCGCAAATGATGCTGCATGACTCTGCTTTGAAATGAACCCAAAACCCGAAACCCAAACTGGAAAGACACCAGTCACGCCTGCACCAGCAGCCGCAGCAGGCATCGTGACGCTGAGTGGCCGATGTCTCGGAATGGCGCGCAAAGCAGTGACTTTCAACTGACACACGTGTGACATGACACTCGTGACACTGCTGCTGCGACATGACACTCGTGACGCTGCTCCTGCAAAAAGGCTAAGGGAACGGTACAGTAGTAGCAGCAGTGACTGTAGTTGAACAGACAGTAGCTAGGTTTAGGGTTTACGGTGTAGTTCTACGTGACACTGGTCCTTATTTCATTAGCAGGCCTGTCCTGATCGGACAGACACTGACAATGAAGTCGGACCCCTGTGTCATTCCCAATGGCTGTCCTGATCGGTCAGCCACGAGAAATGACACTGAAAGTTATTAGTATTGATAATAATAAGTATTAATATTATCGGGAAGTTCCTAATCGGACCCTCCCGGCGAGATGTTATCATGTGAAATATGCTAGCGGGGTGGGTAAATGATGACACTGACTGTCTAGTTTCGGGAAGGGTGGGAGGGAGGGAATATCAGGGTGCGGCGTTGGGTGTGCGGATGGGCTAGCGGGGCGGGCAGGGTGACCCTGGTTTCGGGAAGGGCGGGAGGGGGTTGAATGTATATTATGGAGTTCACCCGCACATCTGTCCAGATCGGTCAGACGTGGGAGTGAACTCCTTTAGACCTACAAGAATGTCACATGTCATGCTGCCCTGATCGGGCAGACATGACACAGGACATTTGCCTAGTGACACTGCATTCTCATGTCTGACCAGATCGGTCAAACATGAGAATGAAGGCCTCTATCGCCAAAACCCCAAAACCCTAAACTCCCCAACCACCCAACCACCCAAACTAAAACCTACTAAACCTAAAACCCAGAGCGCACGTGACACTGTAAGTGCCCAGCCAGCAATGTCCAGCAGTGTCGTCGGAGTCCGCGTTGCACATGGGACGAAGTTACGTTTAGGGTTTAGGGTCCTGAAGGCACGTGACACTGTTTAGGGTTCAACTTTAGGGTCCTGAGGGTTTGGTGGTTTAGGGTCTAGGGTTTAGGGTTTCTTAGGGTGGTTGAGTAGTATTAGGGTAGGGTTTACTCAAATTAGGGATGTTTGCTTCGGGGGTTTAGGGTTAGGTCGAGGGTTTAGGTTCAGGGCTTTTTAAAGGTTTGAAGTAAGGCTTTAGTAACTTTAGGGCTGGTGCTATCGCTTTCTAGGGTTAGGGTTTGGGGCTATAGAGTCTTAGGTTATGTTTTTTTCGATTTGGGGTTTGCAAGTGGGGCATTTAATTCGGTGAAACGGAAAATTGAGCCCCAAGTGACACTGACACAAACACACACATATCCAACCCTCCTAAAGGCACCCACCAGGAAAAAGTTTAAAGAGTGAACAAACGACATGTAAGAGTAGTAGTAGAGTAGTAGTAGTAGCAGTAGTAGCAGTAGTAGGAGTAGTAGTAGTAGTAGTAGTAGTAGTAGTAGTAGTGGTAGCAGTAGCAATAGTAGTAGTAATCGTAGTACTAGTTTACTAGTGATCGTAAATTAGTAGTAGAGCTGAGTGGGCACTTCTTGACCGGCTCTCGGGCTGTGGGAAAGCTGTGCCCATGGCCAGAAATACTGTCTTTTCGCCTGCGTGTCTAAGGATCCGACTCATGTAGGACCCAGCTCCTAGGCCGTATAGAGTAGCTCCAATTTCCATGACACACCATCCGAACTTTGGTGCCATGATGAAGGTCAGAAAGGTGGCCTCAAGCATCGTCTCGACAACAAAGCGGAGCCAACAGGCAAACTCGAGGTGGATTTGGCAACAACATGCCAGCCTGTCGCAACCCAGAAGCAATCGCGAGATGACAGTGCAAGGACCCTCACTCACATGTTGTTGCCCAGCCCTTGTTGCATCACACCACAACAGGTCGAGAAGAACCTAACAAATTTATAAACATATGCAATGCATGCAGCAGGGCAGACTTCGGAGCATGAGTGGGTTTGCGAGGTTTACTTTTGCCAATTACGGCTTCATGACGTGACATTATCATCAGTTGTCATCATTATCATGATTCCCCCGTTGTCCTGTTCGCGCCTTATGCATACCCAAGTCTATTCCGATTTTAGCACACAGTATGGACCACTTGCAGGAGCACACAAGCCGTATACCAACACATGCGGTCCTTGGTTTAAGCTTAGACAGGTAAAGAGTTGAAAGCAGAGACTACGCGAAAAATCATGAAACAACGGCACCTGGCTGGCTCAACTCAAAAAAAGTTCCTTTGCTTCGGCATGATTTTTGTTATTATTTTTAAGAAACAGAAAGGCACGCTTCTCTCGTTGGAAATCCTCTGTCGTCATCACAGAGGAACGTAAGAAGGCTCCTTCATCTCTTATTATCACTGGTCAGAACTACCGTCGGTCAATAACCCGAATGATCCAGAGCACTTCTACATCTCTTGATGTTTCGGAAGCAAAAGCTCTTTCCTCTATATCTGCAATACATTCGATGAGAGTGAAGGCATGTCGAGCTTCTTACGTCTTACATCACGAATCTTGCTTTCTACATCACGGATACAGAACAGCTGTTCGTTTCGTGTGTCACATGGGTAATTTCATTTGCCAAAATGACAAATACAAGTTTTCGCGTGCTAGCAGCAACACTATAAGCTAAGCGCTGAAGACGAAGTGACGATGACCTTGTGGGAAAACGGACAACTGTCTGTTGGAGTAAGACGCAAAAGCGCTCATGGCTCTTTGCAAAGACGTCAGAAGAATCATTTGCCCTTCGCTAGCAGCCAGAAGTTTGAGAGCTGCTACCATCGCTTCGAGAGATATGAAAGAACTCCTGCCTTCTCATAACAACGGTCGAAACACCTGTATGTTTCAAACCTTTGCAAAGCTGTAAAAGACTGCCGTTCAACCTTAACACACAGGAAATCTCACTTCGATGAGGAGAGCATTCGTAACTGAAGATTCTGACTGCTCAACCAATTTATGTACGTATTGCAAGTCTAGTTTGCTCAGCACGTTAATCTTCCAACGTGTAATGTGGAAAGCTTCCTACCTGTCAACAAAACGAAGATCCTCTGCCTGTCAGTGTGAGAGGAAAGAAGAGGGCCTTTTCAAAATCATGAGCAGCAAAAGTGAGCTTCTTCATTTGATAACTGCAGGTACAGTAGCCGAGAACAACAAGAACTGCTTATAAGAATAATCATGGTAATCGCTCCACTGCTACAACTACTACTATTACTGACCTTCTTGTCGCAAGTATTGCATCTGTGTGTTGCTCGTCCTGGTTCTGGTGGCGAAAATGCCACCAGTCTCAAAACTCACCCATGCTTTAACAAAAGGACATGAGAAAACCTCGTCCAGGAGCAAACTCACAAACAATCCCATCCTCGCATCGACGAAGCCATCGGTTGTCAGTCCAGAGGATCTTGAGGAATTTTGGGGAAGTTGGGGAAGTTTAACCACTGCCGTTTCGCATCTGAAAATACCAAAACTCCGCCAGCATCAAACTTATCAAACTCCCAACGCCTGAGATGGCGGAACATTGGCAATAATCAATTTTCCGCAACATTCTGGCATCTATGGAACATGCGGTGCCACAGTTCCAATGTCGATGCTCTTGCATGCCAAGCTACAGGATTTTTGGGAAAAGTTGATTCCGCCGATGTTTGCGCTTCCGGGTTGCCAATGTTGGCAGGCTCAAACATCCCCCCAGTTCTTGGCATCGATGGAGAGTGCGGTTCCAGATTTTGAGAAGTTTGGGGGAATTTGATCCCTGCCGATGCTTTC